GTTTTGTAACTTAATATATAGTAAATTATTGTTAAATATATATGATGATTATGTTATATGATAAACTGTGATTTTACCACACATATTTACCTCTAAGAAGAACTGACAATATTGTAGCTTTTATAATTTTGTAAACAAATTTCACAAGTCAAATTTTAATATCCATAATTTTGTGTTAATTTCAGATTGTGGAAACTGTTGCAGGAGATCAATAATCTAGATGCCATCATTCTTGTAAAAACGAAAAGAATGTATCATTATTGTACATCAATGTAAAAAAATTTGATAAATTCTAATATAAATTGGAAAACAGATTGCGTATCAATTTATATTTCTTTACCTTTGTAATTTTTATTGTCCAAACATTAGTATCTCTAAAAGTTATTTTTATCCTATAATCCTAACGTTTTGCAAATATTATAATAAATCTGTGCTTCCTCTGATTTGTCCAAACATCCATAAAGATTGTTCAGTTTCAGGCAATCGGTTTTACTCATCGCTTTTCGTTGACCAATCGTGATGTTGGACATTTTCGGTGTCAAAGTCTGTTTCGTAGGATCAATGCTAAAAAAGTAGCTGCCGTAATGCATTATGCTGTCATATCCGTATTCATAGCTGTATGTTGCATTCTCCGGAGATTGCTTGTTGAAGTTTGATCGAAATTCTAAACAAGATAATGAAGCCAATAAGAAAATCTATAAATATTTAAAATATACAACATAATTACACAAGTTATTTTTAAGAAACATTACCTGGTATAATGTTCTCATAATGTATGTTTATGTACATATCTCTATCAGCACGACTGTGTTCATGAAAAATACCGAGGGCGTGCATTAATTCATGTATCGCCCTCCCTTCGTTTTCCAAGCAATTCGGTCCCTTTTCATCCGGCGGTTCCAGGGAGAGTATCTGAGCTCCACCAAATTTGCCCACAAATGACCAGCATCTGCAAATTAATTTCACAGCACAGAAAAAATTAATTGCTTTCATTTCTCAACCTTCACAGTGAGAGCATTATCCATGCTTTATAATGAGAACCCATTGTTTACCCTTTGGGATACATTATCGGCCAAATGAGCAAGAAGTCCTTAGCTATACCATCCCAGGGAACAAACTTGATGCATGTCATATAATTCATATAAATGATGGCTTTATATATTTTCTCATAATTCGCAACATCTGGAAACAATTTTAATATGTTATTCTCTTATAGTTTTTATTCTATTTTCAGATAATATTAAATAATATCGAATTATTTTTACATACGTACTGTATAGAGGACTTATCACATAAGGAACTGTTCTGTTCTCCCATAGCTTATCTGGAAAGACGTCCCAGCGTAAACCGATGCGCAAATAATTAAAATGCTGTGCAAAAATAAAACATATTAGAGGAAATATAATAAAAGGGAAAAGAAATAACATGTACCTCACTAGTTACAGCTATATCTCCTTCAAACAAGCCGGGACGGACTTCTGGATCTTGCGACGACTGATAAAGACGCAATAAATCTTGATTTGATGTTTTAACTATAAAAGATTTTGCAATTTGCATAAGACAATCAACTTTCATCAATATTTTTCAATAACACGATAAAAATCGATGAATTTCTTACCTATATTAGGCACAATGGGACGTATTGTGTTGATGGCAGTTTTATTTATTGGTAATGCAATTACAGTCGCTATGCAACTCAAGTATATGCATAAAAACAGCTTTATCTTCATGTTCTTTCTCCTTGATTTTTTATTATATATATAGTTTAGTAATTGCGTTCTTGCGATCCACTGCAACTTACGCGGTTTTTTTTAAAGCGATGCTTTGAAACATGATAAGCAAGGTTAGGTTAGGTTAGATTAATAACAACTGATCACAGCTGATTGACGAGGCATGAGTGGACCTTTCAATATATTGTTGTCAATTGTGTTTCCACAATTTCAAATTTTTTTATTTTAATTTTGTCACAAATTTGATAAATTGTGAACATGAACTGTTCATTTTGTTGAAGTTTCTTTAATTTAGTCATCTTTTATCTTATTGAAATTTTAATTTTAAATACAAGTTACGCGCGTTATGCTTCTCATGTTTATAAATATAAATATAATATTATAAGTTTTAGGACGTTAACTATGGGACACTCCCAAAAAAGTGAGTCAAACATAGATCACGCAATTGCAGGAGCTGCTAGTGGGTTTATAACAAGATTTCTATGTCAACCTTTAGATGTTATAAAAATAAGATTCCAAGTAAGTTCTAAAAACTACAAACACACTTTGGTAATTTTTAAAATTCTACAATTAACTCATTATTTTCTTGTTGCAGTTACAAGTCGAACCAATTTCAAAATGTCATGGTAGTAAATACAAATCTCTACCACAAGCTTTTTTGCTAATTTTGAGAGAAGAAGGAATTTTTGCTTTATGGAAAGGCCATGTACCTGCACAATTGCTCTCAATTGTTTATGGGATGGCTCAGGTAGAGAACAAAAATTTTTCAATGATATATTTAGTTAAACTTAATGAATCAATCTGTATTACTTGATGTTCCATGTTTCTAATCCATATTTTTGCAGTTTTATTCCTATAATGTATTCATGAAAACAATCCAAGATATATCAAAAATTGAGGAACGGAATCACTTTATACATTTTATCGCTGGTGCTGGTGCAGGAAGCGTGGCGACAATTGCCTCATTTCCTTTCGATACTGTAAGAACTAGATTAGTAGCCCAATCGAATAATCATCAAGTGTATAAAGGAGTGTTACATTCCTGTAGGCAAGTATATATACAAGTATAATATACAAGAAATTAATTCTTAATTAATAATAAAAATTATAACATTTTACCGATTAATAGAAATTTGTTGTCTTTTTTTATCAAAATAAAATTCCTGTTTTTATATTCTTTAATAACATATATTATCCTTTTTTCAGTTCGATTATTCGACATGAGTCACCAAAAGTCTTCTTTTATGGTCTACTACCAAATTTATTACAAATTGCTCCACATACTGGCCTGCAATTTGCATTCTATGAATTTTTTATAGATTTCTATAAAAAATACACCTCCAATACCGATACTAGTTTCTATAATTCTATGTTTTCTGGTAGTATTGCTGGACTCTTAGCGAAAACCATCGTGTATCCGTTTGATCTTGCTAGAAAGAGATTGCAGATACAGGGTTTTCAGCAAGGACGTAAAGGATTTGGTAAATTCTTTCAATGTAATGGATTATTAGATTGCTTGAAAGTAACTGTAAAAGAGGAGGGAGTGCAGGGCTTGTTCAAAGGTTTAGTGCCGAGTCAAGCAAAAGCTGCTATAACCTCGGCTCTGCATTTTACCGCGTATGAACAAGTTTTATTATTATTAAAATTATTGCGGTAATAATAGCTTAAATAAAGTGAGTAAAATGTGTATTTAATGTATCTAATGTATTTAGTCATAATAATCTAATGTGTCATCTCATATTTGCTATAAAATCTGTGATCAATTTATTATATATTAATTTACACATTTTATAAAAGACTGATAGCATAATAAAATTATTAAAATTTATAAATTATATCTTTTTGTTATAAGTGATTGAAAATAAATACCTGATCGAATATATATCATATCATGATTAGGAAGAATCCTATACACTGTACAATCACGGTAATGATGCAACTATGTTAAATCAATTTGTGCAGGCATATTTTCTGGAGTTCCTTCCAGGACAGCTATAATATTTCTTGCTGTGATTCTGGCCATTTCTTCTCTGGTTTCTGTGGTGGCACTTCCTATGTGAGGTAGAACCACTAAAAGAACAATTACAAATTAATATCATTCAATATAAAATAATAGCATAAGTCTGTGTAAATATACCTACCGCAATTATCTAGTTTTAAAAGTTCACTGTCTAAAGGTATTGGTTCTGGTGTCATAACATCTAAACCAGCTGCTGAGATTGTGCCATTCTTCAAAGCGCTTATCAGCGCTTCTTGATCCACGACATCTCCACGACTGCCGTTAACGAATATGGCCGTTTTCTTCATTTGTTTAAAAGCTTCCGTATTAAATATATGTTTCGTTTCTGATGTCAATGCTACGGCCACTATGACGAAATCGCTGTCCTTGAGCAGTCTATTAAATTCAACTTTTTCACCGCCAAATTTAGATGCTTCAGGTTTGATTGTTCTACTTGTGTATAATATTTTGGCAATGTTGAAACCCTTGAGTAGCTCTGCGACTCGGAAGCCTATTCTCCCCAAACCGACGATTCCTACAGTTTTTCCTGACAATCCTGTACCGCACATCCACACAGGTGCCCAGGCTTTCCATTCACCTCTGTAAAATAACGATGTGTTTAATTCATTATATTGCAAGGATTATATTTTTAATATTGAACATACTTGTAGATTGCCTTATTTGCTTGCAGTAATTTCCTTGATGTGGCTAATAAAAGACCTACTATCAATTCTGCAGTAGCTTCAGTCAGAACATCTGGAGTGTAACCAACTCTAATGCCTCTTCTCTTTAAAGCATTTAAATCTAGATGATCTACTCCTACTGACATAGATGCCACAATTTTTAATTGTGGACCAGCAGCATCTAAAATCTCATCGTCTATCTTGTCTGTTAGCACACAATACAAGGCATCTATTCCAGGGATTTTGGATAACAACTGCGATCGTGGTATTGGTTCATGTTTATCCCATAATATGATTTGACACCTGGAAACAGAGTACAATATTAGATTGATTGTAACATTTATTTCATAACATAATTGTATAAAATTATATAAAGAATGGAGTAAAAATATACAGCGTAATTGTAAAAAGTTCAGACAAAGAATGAGACTATATAAAGAAATTATATATTCAATATAAGTTTTAAAAATACTAAATTTAATGACATATAAATGTAATACTCACACCGTTCACGCAATAAATTTAAGCCTGCGTCAGGTATATCTGGCCGTGTAACCAAGACTTTAGGTTTATCCGGTCTTTCCATTCTGGCAGAACTCGATATCAGTACTTTTGTCAAGCTGATTCTGTTTGAAAAAATAAATCT